GAGCCGAAACCGGTCCTCGGGGGGAAAAGTCCAGGCCTGGTATCCACGTTTTGAAAGAAAGCACAACGTCGGCGGAGCTCTGGGGAGCGGGGCAGGGAGATGACGCTGAGATCATGGCGTCGCAATTTTTTCGAGCCGGGCGTCGTCGAACAACTTCGGGGCCCGGGCACCCTCGCAGATCGATCCGGCATCGAGAAGTGGCGCACAAAGGAGGGGTCTAGGGCTCTGGGCGTGATTTTTAGGATGCTACAAGTCTTCCGCAACGTCGATCTCACGGGACGTCGGCAGAGCTCTGGGGAGCGGGGCAAGGAGATGGGGGGCAACGTAGGGGGGGGATAAGCATAAAGGAACGTCGACCTGGAATCAGCGATGCAGCGCCGGAAGATCGGCGAAAAACACCCGATAGCGAATCCGCACGTTCCTGGGCAGGTTGGGGCCATCGCGCCCCTGTCGGCGATCCATGGGAGATGGGGGGTCGATGCGTCCGCCCTGTGCCTATCCCCCCCGACCGTTGGCCCTGAGAAGAGGAAGCGGAAGGGGAGGGAAAGTAGAAGAGGAGGGAGGGATGGGATGGGATGGGATTGGGCCGGGGGCTCTGGCCACAGGAAGAGGGCTAGGAGCAGGCCCTGGCCACACGCGAGACTTGTGGAGGCCATGATGATGGACACTCCAGCAGCCCTACTATCATTGGATTCAAAATGTGTACGCCATGTTAAACATGTATAACACCTGGTTCTAACATGTTTGTATCCTTGCATTGCTTAAACATGTTTGAAACATGTTTTTGAACATCTGGTAACTATTTGACAACATGCCTCATGCCCCCTCTCCGTTGATCGTCTCGCACAACGCGAGGCAACCGGTCGCGGGCGGCGAAGGGGGGGCCACCGGGAAATGCAGGCAGCGTGGGGGGGGGGGCACGGAGCGACCAGGCGGACAGGGTCCGCTGACCGCACCGCATCGCCGACCGACGTAGCGACAAAAATTACAAATCGTAAAACATCACACCTGCAGCCCTAAGGCCTCCTGGACCTCAGTTCTTTCTGCGTCATGTCTCGAGCGGGATCGATCTGCGAGAGCCCAGGCCCAACAAAAGGCGAAGACGCCCGGCTCGAAACAACTGCGACACCAGGACCTCAGAGGACCGCGCCGTATCGCCGATGCATCGGCGGCGACGGGACGTAGAGAGTCCAGCTCCAAATCGCGTCGCAGCGCCGATGCGTAGGCGGTGCGGCGCTATACCGTCTCTGGGGGCCCAGACCTCCGACGCCTTGATATATTGTGTGCGGGGCCCCCAAGCTCAAGACCGCTACCTGGAGGCCAGTTCTTCCCTGAGATACCTCGTCGGAGTCGCAATTTGTCGAGCCGGGCGTTTTCGCTTTTTTTCGGGGTCCGCGGACCCTGGGAGATCTTTCCGGCTCGAAAAATCCTTGCTAAACAGTTGGAAACATCTAGTTTCGTTGCTCATTTCAGCGGCAGCGGCGTCTCTAAGGGCCCAACGGTATCTAACATCCGCCCCGTAAATAATGTGTTTTACAATGGTTGTTAACAGACTAGCAAGCACGAACAATATCTTTCGGAAATAAATATTAATACGTCTGTATACGTTTCAATACGAACAGATACGAGCGCTATGATTTCTCACTGAATTTAAATACGTGGTCATTTTTAGCTACGGACAAATATGTTTAGATATGTTTGAATACGGCTCGCTATGGCGCTGATCGCTGGAGATTCAATCTAGGACAAACAGATACGCATAGACACAGCGCCATGTCGACACTGCCACGCCGAGGCCGCTCAATGATGACGAACACGGAAGACATTGCACATACCAGTCAGGACGACAACGATGAGGAGGAAAGACGAACATGTGGGATAGGGAGGGACAGAGTGAGCGAGCAGAACGATCACGAAGACCAACAGGACGAAGAAGAGGGGCCCTCATCCTCCCTCACGCTACCTCCTCGCACATCCGCGCATTGTCAAATCCTCCAGCTCCTTCTCCATTGCCGTCATCCTCCGTGCCATTATTACCTCTCCCTCTTTCTCCCCTTCTCCACCTCCTGGCTCCCGCTCGTCCTGCCTCATCGTTTCGTCGTCGTCAATATCTCCGCCACTCATCCCAAAACGTCCTCGTTCCTCCTCGCACTTGTTTGCCCTCTTCATCCGCACCCCGCACCACCCTCTTCGCTCTGCAGGTCTCGATCTGACATCCTCCTCCACTTCCGCCTCCTACTCCTCGCTGATCGTTCTCCTCCCTCCTCCCTCCTCGTCCTTCTCCTCCCACCCCTCCACCGATTCTCCGTTCCCTCCCATTTCCCACCAAAATCCTAATTTCAGAATCCTTTTCTTACTGTTGTCCCTCTTTCTCCTCCTCGTCGTTCTCTTTGACCTCATCGCTCGTCTCCTCACTCATCCCCGCCCTGGGAGGTCGTTGATGCGCACCCGGCCCCACTTGAGGACGTCTCTTGTTGATCATGGGGCCCATCGGCGTTGGGGCTTTTCGAGGCGAAACCTGCCGTGGCGACGGTGGGTCTCTGGGGTGCGACGCTGAGCTGGACCGAAGGGATCCTCAGAAGCGTCCTTCAAGAGCTGGTTTGGATCCGCGCACTCGGCGGCCGTCCCGAGGGTCCTCGAGAGGGTGATCTCTCTGGGATCGCTGCGTGGCTGTCCGTCGTGGGTTGCCTTCCAGAACCACTCCTCTCCTCGCCGTTCTTCCTACGAAGGTCGGGGCTGCGACAGGCCAGGATATCTGGGGGTCGCCTGCTGCCTGGCAGTTTCGCTAAAGAGGCCGTAACCGCGGCCTCACACGCGATCCGAAAGGGTCCAACCAACCAACCAACCAACCAACTCATCCTCGCTACGGCTTCCCCTCAATCCCCCTCCGATTGATCACTGATACGCTTATCCTCGCTCCGAGAGCAACGCCAGAAGCATCCATTCTGAGCAACTTAGATACGAATCGATACGGCGCGATGGCTGCTTTCTTGGAACATTAGATACGAACAACTATGTGCTCTTGAAGGAACATGTTCGGTTTTTAGATATGCCTGAAAATCGCTCTCGTGTAGACTGGGGGCGCATCTAAAATGCAGATCTATTTTGCGCTCGTGGCAGACAAACAATACGAATGGCATATCGCCTGCACCAGGGCGCGATCGCATCTAAACCACATCAAACACATTAGATATGTCTTGCAGCGATGACGCAGGAAGATGGGGTCTAGGGCTCCGGGCGTGATTTGGTTGGATGCTGCATTTTTTCGGTACGTCGGATCTCAGGGTTCGTCGCGGGTCTAGTTGTGTTCACCGTCCCTGGGCCCAGCGAGGGCCCGCAGAGGCAAAAAACTACGGAACAACCTCCGCCTGTCATGTCAATTCTGGGACGGGAGCGCGGGGTGCTGCGGGGACAGAGTGGCTTATATCTGGCCGAACCTGGCGAGTAAGTGGGTTACAAGTGCCCCAAGTGGCTCGGGGGTATAGATAACTCCGCGAACTGGGTGGAGCCCACTTAGCCCAGATCGCCACCCACTTATGAGATAGCTTAGGATAGATTTCACCCACCTTGGCATCCACTGGCATCCCCTGATCATCACCCCATCCCCGCAGCAGCCCCCCGCGCCCAGCCCGGCACATTTGAAGGTCCGGAGCCCCGTCCAATGCTGCGCGCCTCTGGGAGGCGAGCAGCATCAGCCCGGCCAGTCGGTGCCGCAGCCCTGCCGTGGACTCTGGCTGTGCCGCGTCACGCCCGGGGGCCCGCTCCCGGGAGGCCTCCCGGGGGGCCTCCGAAGCTTCGCGAGGGCCTCGGAGCGTCCACGATCCTCGATGCTCGTTGCATCGGCCCTCGAGGGAGAGTATTCCCATTTTAGGTTCTCGCAAGTTCACTGGCATGACACCTCGCCGCCCCCCCACCCCCCCGCGTCCTTTGCTTCTCCAGCAGCGATGGGCCGAAGAAAAGGTGTAGGAGTGGATCCCGACCTGCGAGAAACACAGATTTCCTTTCGGGCCTCGCCACGCATCCCCCCTCCCCCTCCATTCAAGTGAACTCGCTTGGGCCTCAAGAGAAACGAGCACGGAGGCTCCTGGAGGGCCAGGGAAAAAAACGTTCACGAACTTCGATCCTCGATGCTCGGTGCGTCGACCCTCGAGATTGATCGATCGACCGGACGTCGACGGCGACGACCAAGGAGAAGACGAGGACGGCAAGGCCGACGACCACGGCGACGACGCACGACGCACGCGCCTGCACAGGCAGCGCCACTGCTACTCGGGGGCCCAGGTCTTCCAGAGGGCACCCCGGCCGGCGGACAGAAAAGGATCCAGCTCGGTGGGAGGGAGCGGGCGGGAGAGGCAGGACGCCAGACGTGGCGCGAGCCCGTTTCGATTGCCCCTCAGTGGACCTCGGGAAGTCGGCCAGCAGGGGGGGGGGGGTGAGGCCAAGTCCGCTCAAGATCAGTCCCCTAACCCTTCCCGGGGTCCATCTGATGAAATTTTCTCCCTGGATCCGTTTCTGACGGTCCCGGAGCCCGAGAACGGCCCCGTGAGGCCGAAACAAAGAAAAAACACCTTCTCGAACCCAGCGCCTCGAACCTGCCCGCCCTTCCTGCTGGCCAGCACCAGTGCTGGGCCGCCTGAGACCCCCAGGCGGCTCCAAGCGCCTCTCCTCTCTCTTCGTCCCCCCTACCGATCGGACGACGACGGTGAACGAGGCGCACGCCCGCATCGAGCGGCAGCCGGGCGATGGCGATTCTCGATCCTCGATCCTCGACCGACCGACCTTCAAAGTCGATCGACCGATCGGGCGACGGCAGCAAGGCGGGCGCCTGCAACAAGCCGCCCATCCACGATGATCGAACCTCGATCGATCGAACCTCGAGATCGACCGAACGATCGGACGACGACGACGACGACGACGACGACGACGACGACGACGACGACGACGACGACGACGACGACGACGACGACGACGGCGGCGGCGGCGGCAACGACGACGACGACGACGACGACGACGACGACGGCGACGCGCCTGCACCGAACCGCAGCCGCGCGCCAGCGAGCGGGGCACCCCTGCGCCGGAGCGCGCGCCGCGGCAAGCCGTCGAGCGAGAAGGGGACCCACTGGGGGGCGCCGGCGGGCGCCTGCGGCGCGTTCTCCGCCACCCACTCGGCAGCCTGTCGCGGCGCAACGACAGCTCATTTCCGTGAGAGAAGCTTGCCAGAGGCAACGGATGGACTGGTTTACATGTATACTGGATCCGAGGGTTCGAACCTCGATCCTTGGGTCTATGGGGGTCTGATGCCGACACTCGCAGTGGGCTCTTGTCCCGGCAGTCCGCGCTGCGGGGCCAGATGGCAGGAGAAAGCAGGGAGGAGCACGCAGACGACGACGAACGCGAAGGGCGGAGGGCCGAGGTCGCTGCCTTCCCCCGCGGGGCCCGCCTGTTTCAGCGGCTCTCTGGCCAGGCCGACATGTTAGCACACGCCCGCACCCTGGTTCGCAAGGGTGATATCGGAGCGATAGCCTGGCGGAGGCTCCCCCGGGCATCCTGGAATCCTCCGATGTGATCTTTTCAATCCGCGGCCCCAGAGGTCCCGACCCCTTCCCTGAGGGTGGTTGGTCGTCTCACATCCATGTTTGATGGCCCCCAGGCCCTGGCAACGGGCCATGCATGGAGGCAGATAGCGGAACAAAACACCGGATTGAAACACTCACATCCTCGGAGATGTGTGCCCGCGTATCTCGTGAATCGATGGATCAAGGATCGAGGGTCGAGGGCTTTAGACATTCCTGGCCCTTTGGGAGCCTCCAGAGACCCCGGGAGGCCTCCAGGGGCCTCCTCGTCGCCTCGGTTGGGTCCCCCTGGAATGCAAATCAAAGAACACACCACAATTCACTTGACAGCGTGCGGGAGATTCCACGTTCAGCACAAAGCAAACATAGATGTGTGTGTATATATATATCGTTCTGGTCGCGCATTCGCCACTGGTTAAGATCTCGCAGCTGTGCCAGACAGCTGTGTTGAGGCGTTCACGCTGCGGGACCCCCCGTTTCACGTACCCGCCTCGCGCTCCCAAAGGACGGAACGCCGAGGGGACGGTACGAACGGGGGGCCCGCCACCGAGGGAAAAGACTCCCCTGGGTGGCCGCCGCGGCCTCTCCTGAAAAAACTTGTTCGGGTGGTTGCGGGATGGCAGAGCAAGAAAGCTGCGAGAGCAACATCGGCGAGACAGCGGGACCCCCGAGATACCCCAATGACCTGCTGTCATAAGTCTGATCTCGTTCTGGTCGCGCATGCGCCACTGGTTAAGATCTCGCAGCTGTGCCAGACAGCTGTGTTGAGGCGTTCACGCTGCGGGACCCCCCGTTTCACGTACCCGCCTCGCGCTCCCAAAGGACGGAACGCCGAGGGGACGGTACGAACGGGGGGCCCGCCACCGAGGGAAAAGACTCCCCTGGGTGGCCGCCGCGGCCTCTCCTGAAAAAACTTGTTCGGGTGGTTGCGGGATGGCAGAGCAAGAAAGCTGCGAGAGCAACATCGGCGAGACAGCGGGACCCCCGAGATACCCCAATGACCTGCTGTCATAAGTCTGATCTCGTTCTGGTCGCGCATGCGCCACTGGTTAAGATCTCGCAGCTGTGCCAGACAGCTGTGTTGAGGCGTTCACGCTGCGGGACCCCCCGTTTCACGTACCCGCCTCGCGCTCCCAAAGGACGGAACGCCGAGGGGACGGTACGAACGGGGGGCCCGCCACCGAGGGAAAAGACTCCCCTGGGTGGCCGCCGCGGCCACTCCATTCACACCTTTTCACTGGCTATAGCTGGAATTCAGTAACATTAGGCCAAGCTGCCTTAATATATCTGAGAGAGCGTGATCCACCGCCGCTTTACTGTGGAAAATTGCCAACCTTTTCCTCCGGAGCTCGGGGGTCGCCCCCCCCCTCCGAAAATCCCCCCCCCCCTGCTGGAACCCTTCCCCCCCCCCCCCCCCTCCCTCCCGGCAAACCCCCCCCCTCCTAACCCTCCCCCCCCCCCCTCCCCCTGAAAGCCGGGGGGGGTCACTACCGTTCGAACCCCCCCCCCCCCCCCCCCCCCCCCCCCCCCCCCCCCCCCCCCCCCCCCCCCCCCCCCCCCCCCCCTCCGGATCCGGGAAACCGGGGGGGGGTCACTACCGGTTGAACCCCCCCCCCCCCCGAAAACCGGAGGGGGGTCACCCGGTTCGACCCCCCCCCCCCACGCACCGCCAGCAAACGACTCCCGGTCCCTACCACCGCTCGCATCACATCCCCCACTGTTGTTCCCAGCACCACTGTCCTCACCACCACTGTCCCCGCTGGTTCCACCACCGTCCCTATTGTCCCCACCAGTGCCCCCACCACTGTCGCACTGTCCCCACTGTTCTGTTCCCACCACGGTTCCACTCTCCCCACTGTCTCCACGGACCCAACCACTGCCTATCCCCACTGTCCCCACTGTCCCACTGACTCCTCCGCTGTCCCACTGAGCTGTCCCACTGTTCCCACCACTGTCCCCACTGTCCCCACCACTGTCCCCACTGTACCTCTGTCCCATTGTCCCACCGCCGTCCTCGCCGACGCCTTTACCAGTGTCCCCACCACCATTGTACCCTCCACTGTCCCAGTGTTTCCACCTCATTCCCACTGTCCCCACACCACTGTCCCCACCACCACCGTTCCCACCACTGTCCACTGTCCCCCCTGTTCCCACCATTGTCCCCACCACTGTCCCCACTACTACCCTCCCCACCGCTGTCCCACTGTCCCCCCACTGTCCCCACCACTGTCCCGCTGTCCCCTCACCACTGTCCCCACCAACACCGTCCCCACCACTGTCCGCACCCCCACTCGGTTTTCGAGGGGGGGGGGGGGGTTCGAACCGGTAGTGACCCCCCCCCCTTTTCATGATGAGCTGGGGGGGGGGGGGGAGGGGTTCGAACCGGTAGTGACCCCCCCCGGTTTTCCGGAGGGGGGGGGGGGAGGGGTTCGAACCGGTAGTGACCCCCCCCCCCCCCCGGTTTTCCGCCAGCAGCGGTAGAACACGCTCTTTCATATATCTTTAACAAGGTCGGCGACAGCCTCCTCGATATATACTCGTGCAGAGGTTACGGCGCTCCACCTTCCTCGCTGCATTGTTCGCTCGAGGTTGGCGCCTAAGAGGAAGTCATGACAGGCACCTCCTCTCCTGAAACTGTACCAGGACCAGCGCGCAGGAGGGATCGATGCAACGGCGAGGAGCGATCTCAGAATCTTCTGAAGCTGTATGTAAGAATATGGGCAAACATGATCTGACGGCTGCGCGCTGGACGTCGCAGCTCGCAGCAAGTGCACAGCAACTGGCGTTCTGACTACTACGAATTGCACCTTGCCAGACCTGGCGCCCATCTTTGTCTCTGAGAGCCGCAAAATGACTCCACCTTCGGCGAACGCGATGTCCTCATAGGTGAGGTCTCGCAACTCTTTGGTTCCAAGCATTGCGTCAAACGTGACAAGGACCAAAGCTGCCAACAAAGACTGGCCAGTGGCCAGCGCTGCGCCCGCAAGCCCGAGCGCCATCTCGGGGCTCGCAGGGTAGGCGCGGTTGATGGGCGCTAGCTTCTGCCACGTCTTGACCAGCGACCACGCAAACGGCAGGGCGGTGCGCAACTCGGGGGCGAAGAAGAGGCAGCCTGCGAGCGCGTAGCGGCCCTGGCTGAGTGTGCCTTCGTTCGCCCACTGGTCCTCCACGTAGGCGCCCAAAGCGTGGTCAGCCTCGGCAGAGCTAGTCAGCGGGAAGCCGCCCTCGATAGCGAAGGCGAGGAACTCTGCGACGGCGATGCGGTACCTCCTGAGCGTAGCCGCACTGACCCTGAGATCTGAGAGCCTCTGGGAGCCTCGCAGGCGCTGGAGTCTCTGGGCTTGCGGCGAGAGCCTCTTAGCTGCCAGACCTTTCGGGGCGGCGCGTCGGCTGGGTTGTCTTCCGACGCGATGTAGCCAAGCATGACGTAGCAGCCTGTCGCCCAGCATAAAGCTCCCCAGCGCTTGACGTGCATCCGCAAGACTCTGCTGCTGCTGCGGCCCTTCGTGAGCACCGAGGCTGCGCCCTGGCTGTCGACGAGGTGCAGCATGCGCCTGGGGCGGCCCTGTCCCGACCGCAGGCGCCACTTGATAGTGTTCACTGCCGCCTGGATCTCTAGAGCGTCGATGTGCTTCCCGATTCCGGCGCGCCACCTGTAGCTCGATATCACCTTCCACGCCCAGACGTTGGGCTCCAGCGAAACGCGAGGCCACGCTCGGTGCCTGAATGGGAGGTGAACGTCCAGGCGCACGTCCGTGCCTCCCCGCTCGCCAATCGACAGGTAGTGCCTCACGAGCTGCTCCGCCTCGGACTGGTACTGGTAGTTGTCGCTCTGATGGTACACCGCGTTGTCGTTCCAAGGCGTCCTGCACCTTCCGGTGCGGCATAGGGCTTGGGTCTCCCACAACCGCGGCTGGTACTCGTCAGCGACCAGGGCATGCTGCAGCAGCCATGTCACGGCATAGACTGAGAAGCTGTTGCCGAGCAGGTAACAACGCGCGGTCTCAGAGCTCGAGCCAGACCCGTCTTTCACGGCGCACTCAGTGTAGCCCCGATCAAACCCCAAGAATACCTCTCTCTCTCCTCAGCTGTCGGGGGACGGAGCTCCATGGTGGCCTCATGCTGGAGAAGGCAGGCGTGCTCGTAGAGGCCTACGTGATAACGATGATCGTCCTTTTTCCAGCGCGCCTTCGCCTCAGGACTGGCCCGAGCAATCCCAGCACGACTAATGGGCTGCAGCAAAGAGGGCCTAGCACACACGAGGGTCGGCACTGGCAGCACGCCACCGTTCCAAATCCAACCAGGGGTGACCCAGAGCAGCTCCACGCGCTCCGCGCCGTCGGCAGTGACCTCAATGAAGTGACCCTTGTTCTGGTAGCGATAGCCCTCGCATGGCAGGAGCTGCCAGGACGACCGGCACAGCCGTGGTCTCCTGTTGGGAGCCAGGCAGCTGCTGCAGAAAAGGTAGGGCGTGACCTTGAGCTCGTAGGAGATGCGCTCAACGTCCTCGAGCGGCATGGAAGAGACATTCTCGACGAGGGAGCGCACCTTGCCAGGGAACGCCTCGTTGAGCAAGTTGAGAATCCGAGGTATCTCGCTGAAAAGGGAGGTCCTTCTTGCCCTCCAGCCCTCTCCTGCCGAACATCAACCTCGACAGATCTTGGCAGGGGCTGCCCGCTCCACAGTGCGCGAAGTCGACGACGCCGCCAAAGAGCTGCACCAACCTGTCAATCTGCTCGACCCCCACGTCCTGGATGTCACCCCAGTCGATGAGGCCAGGCCACCTCTTCCTGACGACTCTGCGTGCACAAGGATCCACCTCCGACGAAACGTAGCATATGATCTTGGTGCGCAGCCTGGAAAGCGCCACGATCATGCCCCCGATCCCGTCGAAGAGCCCAATGACTAGGACAGCAGGCACCTTATCGCCAGCTGGCGGCGGCAGGCCAGGGTTCCTCGACTCCCAGGCCCGCCAGAGGGACGCCTCGCCCAGCAGGAGCCGTCCTGCCATGAAGTGCTGCCGGCCCTCCTCCCCAGCAGCGGCGGCCGCCGCCAGCTTCGCGAGGGCCTCGGGGCAGAGCTTCAGCGATGTGCAGGCACCTCCTCCGTCTTCTGACGCATCCGAGCAGGTGGCCCTAGCGCCCACCTCCGCACGCAGGTCCGTGAAGGCGAGTGGGAGGAGGCCGATGCTGCAGAGGATCTCCTCGGTCATTTCAGAGTTGACCCAGCCAGAGTGGGTGCCGTCCGCGAACTTCCAGACCTCGTTCAGGATGCAGAAGAGCACGCGCCTGAACTCCAGCGCCCTGACAAGCTTTCCCAGAAGTGCTAGCATGGTCTCCCAGAAGACCCAGTCCTTGGTCATCAGCAGGGCGCCGAGCAGCATCGCCTCGAACAGCGTCAAGAGCGGAACCGAGACTCGGCCCCGCAGGCCATCCACAAGCACGCCCATCCTCTCGACCTTCACCTCGCCGAGGTGGGCCTTATGCTCGGCCCAGGCGACGCCGTTCCGCTGGTAAGATGACCTCTGCTGCTTCTGGTAGCTAGACTCGATGCCGACCTCCTTCCTCGTGTTGTCGACGATCCTAGGGGCATCGAAGTCGTCAATGAAGAACTGGAACCAAGCGCGGCACTTACCCACCTGAGCTATGGGAAGAGGCTTGTCTCTCCTCCGCTCATCCTCGCCAGGTAGGCCAGCTCCAGCAGGGGGAGGGCGCAGGCCTAGTCGTCTGTGCAGGTATTGGAATAACGCAACAGCTAGCAGCCAGCCCATCGGTATGGCGGCTGAGCAGACGTGCACGGTCTTCAGCTCAGGGCGCCCCACAAGTCGACCAGGAACCCGACCTTTGAGCGCGGTAAAGCTGCGCCAGGGACGAGGGATCTTCCAGACAAAGAAGGCCCCCTGCTGGTCGTCACCCGACCAGAGCAGCACACGCTGGCCCTCCAACGCCACAGTAACCCAAGACGTAGAAGCTGTCAGCGTCGAGAGGTCCTGAGTCATGATCTTCAGGCAGCTGTTGGCTGGCACCATGTTCGTGATGAAGCGGCACTGTCTAACCTCTCCAGCCTCTGGGGTGCCCTTCTTCTCAACTGCAAAAGCCCCATTGAGAACAGGCGTATCATTCACCTGGAAAATGTGCTCGTCCTCGATGGCCTCCACGATGCCGAGCGAGTACAGGTGGCCGACGATCTTGGCCCACTCGGCGGGCGAGTCCACCAAGAGCCTCGCCTTAGGCACCTCGGGGGGCCACTGGGCACGCGGCAGCAAGGCTAGCGTCGGCGCGTCCAGCCAGGCGAGCACCTCAAGACTGACGTGCGCACGTGGGTCAAGTCGACCTGCAACGTCAGCAGCGGGCAAGCCAGGTCGAAGCTCTCCGAGACGAAGTGGCAGGGCACGCGCGCCGCTGTCGATGTCGTATTCACTGGAGGCCCTGGTCGAGATCTCGCTGAGGAGCGGCAGCTGCACCGCGCCCAGGTTGCCCTCGAGAAAGTACGAGGCGGCCTCCCGCATGACTGCAATGGAGCGGACCTGAGCGGACGAGCAGTGCGAGTGGTGGCCCCACGCCTCCTCCCCGCACGAGCCCGCGTACTGGTAGTTCGCGAGCAGCACCTGGACGAAGACCCACATCTCTGCCGTCGCAGTCGCAGCAGAGGTTCGAATAGACTCGGGCTCCAATTGATCGACGGTAGCCGCAGTCGGCTTCTGACATGTAAGCTTCCAGGCCCTAGCATTGGCCAGAGGTGGAGCAGCAAGAGGCAGTACATCCCGAAACATCTGCCCCTGCTGCTGCGGCGAATGCGCGCGATGAAGGAAGCACCGACAAAACTTTCCAAGCCTTCCTGGATGAGTAAACATGGCCTCTATCAGCCACAGCACGAAGGTGAGCGGGGTCATGCCATCCTCGAGGGCCGCAGCAAGCTTGACCTTCCAGGTCCTCAAGTCAGTCATGCTCTTGAGCGTCCAGGGCCAGCTCGCTCCGCCGCTGGCACTTGACGAATTAGCATCGGAAACGATCAGCCCTTCCGATTGGCTGCCCAAGGGGCGGCAGCCATCTGGTTTGCAGCCTTGTCCTGCGCGCCAGCGCCCTCCAAGATGACCTTGCGAGCGCCCCCCCCGCAGGCGGCGTCTGCTTCTTCGGGGCGGAGCTCCGCGTGATCCGAGCGAGGCGCTGCCGATACTGGCCTTGCGTCTCGCTGTCCTTCTTCGGGTTCTGCAGCTTCAAGTCCTTGAACGTCCTGGAGGGCCTGTCCGCATTCTGGGCTCGTGGAGGCTGGCGGCTCGCGCCCGCCACCTCTGCAGTGCGAGCCGCCTCCTGGAGAACCTGATCGCGAAGTGGACCACCGAGCTCTCCTTCTCTGCGGTGGCCTGCAGGGGCAGCTCCCGAACTTCCTGGAGCCATCCCCCGGCCGAGCCCCTAGCCCACGGGCCTGAGCTTGCCCGCGAGCTCTGCGAGCTTCAACTCGCCGTACTCGTTCTTTCTCAGGAGCTCCTCTTCCTCGATGTTGATGGCCGCCGTGTCGGCGTCAGGGGGAATGAGCTCCAGCCATCTCGCGCCCCTCCAATGCTTGTCCTTGCAAGCAAGCTGGGGCGCCGTGAACCTCTGCATCAGCATGCCCATGGCCTCGAGGAGCCTGCCCTGGGTTAAGAGGTCCAGGGGCTCGGAGAGGGTGCGCATCTCCCTGAACATGCCCTCGCCAATGGCCGAAACAGGGTGAGCTGCGAGAAAGATGTTCAGTAAGAACTTGTTGACTATGGCAGGGAGCTCCTCCTCAACCTCATGCATACCCTTCGTGCTGAGAAACTGCTTCAGGTGCGCGAGATGCGCAGTCAACAACTTCCCTGGAGTGTCACGGGCCGTCCTCCTGAAAAACGCTCGCGAAGCAGCAAGGGTCCTCCCAAGCGTGAACTCCAGACCGTCGTTCACGCCGAAGCCCTCGATGCCACCTCCCTGCGACAGCGCCCCCAGCAGAGAGCGGAGCAGGCGTGCAGCCGATCCGCCTCCGTCGCCTCCCAAACCAGCAGCAGCTGCGCCGTCGCCGCCGCCAGCAGCACCCGCGTCTGAAGAGCCGCGTTTGGGGGCCTTCGCAGCTCTCTCGGCGAGGAT